GAATGATAACTCTGAAAACTGGGCACCATTACTCAAAAGTGGTTATGGGCAAACTAAGTGGCTGGCTGAACAGCTGATTTTGAATGCTATTAGAAAAGGATTACCAGCATCAATATTTAGATGTGGAAACATAAGTGGAAGTAGATTGGTTTCTAGCTGGAATTTGGCAGATTTTACTTTATTTATAATACAAGGTGTACTATTTACGAATACATATCCTGACATTAGCTGGGAGGTAAGTATTATAATAAGTATAGAAACCATAGGGTATATTGTATCAAGATATTATTATCTTAATATAAGAGGATAAATGATAAAACAAATAAGTAATAATATAATAGATATGCAAAATTATTTACAGATAGAACTAACACCTGTTGATTTTGTTGCAAATACTATTGTGGAACTAGCACAGAACTTAAGTGACTCATCAGGAAAAATCTACCATTTAGTTAATGACACATTGAATTCAAAGTTGGTATCTATTTTGTTTTCAAATAGTATTTATATAAATAATAATATATTATTGGTATTTTTTCGTAGACATTTATGGGAAGTAATGAAGGACATAGGATACAGTTTAGAATGTGTATCTTTCAAAAAATGGTTGGAATTAATTGAAAAAAATTCAATTCTTCACCCACAATTAGTGCCAMTTACTTATTTATTAAATTCTACTGAGGGAGATTATAATTATTTAGAGAATCAATCAACAGTGAAAAAAAGAAACGTTGAATCGTATCTAGCTTCTGCCAATTTAATATATCCGAATTTAGACAGTATTGAATGTTATAGAATATTGAAAACTTTAGCCAATTTGAATTTGATTCCCCAAATGGCTGTAACCAGAGGTAATTTAAATTTATATTATTAATGATGGAGGATGATTTCATATAAACAAATGTTTTAAGCATTTTATCTGAATTAAAAAAAATATTTATTTTTATTTAAATTATACATTTTTTACGTAAAATATGTTTAAAAGTAAAGTAAACATGTTTCATTTGGATATCACTACTACTATTTTTATTTTTATTTTAAATTTAAATGTTTTCTCAATATTTCTCATGTTATACATAAATATGTAGTATTTCAAATTCAAATTAAATTGATTCATATTTTAAACATTATATTATATTAAATATTTATATGTTGAATTAAAATTTCATGATAAGTAAAAAAAAAAAAAAATATTTAAATTAATTTTAGTATTTTAACATGACTTAAAATCATTGAGTTGTATACAATTTACTAGAAACTTCATGTTAAGTGAATTAAGTAGAAGAAGCCTCTTAGAAATCAAGGTAGAAATGTAGTAAGTTAAATTGTACAGTATAGCTTCATGCTATTCATCATATATCTAGTAATTTGTTAGCTAAGTATGCTTGTAGGTATCTGATATACTTTCCTCCTTAATACACCATACACATTACACATAATACATATCTTGTTGATGAATTTCAAGTATTCCGCTGTTAAGCTCTAGTTTCCCCTCTATTCTATTTTAGTCCATGCTAAAAACCTAATGTATTACCTATATAATTAACATATCTGATTTTTTTTTTTTTAGATTCAGAGAAATCATTAAAAACACAGTTATTGCCTTTAAATTCAAAAGTTGTATTTATTACTGGAGCTTCTTCAGGAATTGGTTATGAAATAACCAAAAGCCTAGCGGTAGCTGGAGCTATAGTGATTCCTACTGGAAGACGAATCAAACGTCTGCTGGAATTAAAAAATAAGATCCTTTCACTTGATGTGACTAATAAAAACATTGTTTTTCCATATGAAATGGATGTTACTGATCCAATTAATGTAAATTTAATTATTTAGTTTATGCATTGCTTTACAAACTGATGTTATAGCTGTTATGTATTAATGTATTTTACTATATAGGTAAGAACAGTGGTTAAAAATGTTGAAGAATCAATTGGCCCAATTGATATAATGATTATAAATGCAGGAGTAATGTTTTATACAACATTTGATAAATGTAAAATAGAAGAATGGGATGAAATGGTACGAGTGAATTGCAATGGTATGTTAAATTGCCTTGGAGCTGTTCTTCCTACCATGACATTAAGAAATTCTGGTCATATTGTAAACATAACATCAAACGCTGGTCGAAGAGTAAGTAGTGAACTGAGAACTTATAGGTAGAACTATGCATAAAAAAATAAAAAAATAATGACGATTTTAAGTCATTTCCAGGTTTAGGGGTGTACTCAGGAACAAAATTTTTCATGGAAGGCATATCAAGTGCACTAAGAACTGAAATGACTGAACATAACATAAAAGTCACCTGCATTCAACCTGGAGACGTTAAAACTGAATTATTACAGAAGACTAGTGATTATGAGGTAAAAATAGTTTCATGAATTTTGATACAATAATGATATTATATTACAAATTATTTTTTAAATCTAGGCTTTAAAGCGATATGACTGCAGCACTAATAATGAAATTCTTGAGCCATCAAATATCGCAGAAGCTGTTTTATTTGCAGTTACACAACCATCATTTTGTGCTGTCAATGAAATTCTAATAGAACCAAAAATGCTACCAATTTAAGTATTTAATATCATAATCCCATATTGTACAAAAAGGAAATAAATTTATTCTTATTTTATATTTTTATTGTTTTTGATATATATTTTTGTATTTTAATGAAATAAATTAAACATATTGAAAATTTAAAAGTTGCCAATATAATGCATATTTTACAATTTTTTATTGCATACAAATCATAGCCCTGATTATCATTTATCTTTATAAAAAATGAAAAACTGTAGTATACTACTGCCACCATAAGAATGCTACTTGTTTGTATACCCAAATGAGACACAACAGAGATCTGCAGTTTTGTAACAATTGAAATTTGTTTCACTCTACCAGTGTCCCTGCTGTTAAGTGGTAACGACATAGATAGGTAGATGTCACCCTAGCTATTTCATACGATAATTGTCTTAAAAGGATATTAATAAGTTTTATATATAAATAATAGATAATAGATAAATTATTTTACCACGATAATTAAACCAAACATTTTGTCA